CTATCTTATCAAGTAGTAGGTTGTGATCTACTTTGTCAAATGCCTTACTGAAGTCCAAGTAAATTATATCCACAGCATTCCTCTGGTCCACTAATTTTGTCACTTGGTCAAAGAATGCAATAAGATTTGTCTGGCATGATCTGTTTTTGACAAACCCATGTTGGCTTTTAGTAATGACTTTGTTTGCCTCTAGGTGTTCACTGATTTGTTGTTTGATTATCTTTTCCAGAATCTTTCCAGGTATTGAGGTCAGGCTGATAGGTCTGTAATTTCCTGGATCCATTTTTTTTCCTTTTTTGAAGATGGGAACTACATCAGCTCTTTTTCCAGTCCTTTGGTAGTTCCCCAGTGCTCCAGGATCTTTGAAAAATATAGTTCAGTGGTTCTGTGATCACATCTGCCAGTTCCTTGAGAACCTTGGGGTGTAATCCATCTGGTCCTGGTGATTTGAACTCGTCTAGGCTGGAGAGGTGCTCACTTAACATTTTCTTGCCTATCTTAACTTGTATTTCTATTCTGTTTTTTATGGCACTATTTTTGATAGGTTGGTCTGTTTTTTCCCTTTGTGTAAAGACAGATGCGAAAAAACGAGTTAAATAGTTCTGCTTTCTCCCTGTTGCTTGTCACCTTCTTGCCACTTTCACCCACTAATGGACCAATCGTTTCCTTCACTTGTTTCTTGTTTCTTACATGTTGAAAGAAGCTTTTTTTGTTATTTTTGACTTTGGTCGCAAGCCTTAGTTCATTTTGAGCCTTAGCTTTCCTCACTTCCTCATTCCCCTTCATTTGTTTCTTCCCATTTCGTTATCAGTGTGTGACCTTTTGAGTGTCAGGTTACGAACCCTACGGTCTTTAGGATCTCTACATGCTTCTAACTTGCCAACAGTGCAGGAGGGAGCGAGGGGAAAATTTTAAATTCACAGGTGTCCTTATCAGTGTGAGAGCTGGAGCTGTTGAAAAGTTGTTTTGGCGAACTAAAGTTTCTTTTCATAATATTTACTGGACAATGTGACCCGAACCTGTCAGAGAGGGGAGGGAAAGTTCCATCCTTTTAATTAACTGCTTCCCACCATTTCCTCAGAGCTAGATTTCCTTTAACCCTGCCGGTTTGTATTTGCCCAATAAAGCATACATTAGAGAATGCAATGGCTCTGGTGTTTTGCTTTGATTGGGCTTTTCAGCTGGAGGTTGACACTGAGAACTAAAAAACGAAAAATAGTATATTGTAAGAACCCAAGCATATGCATCCTGTACATATTTTCCCATGATGCTACATATGCATTTCTCTGCATACATTTCCTATTGTTTAATTTCCATAATATAATTTTCAGAACCAGATCTTCACTGAATGTTCTCCAGCCTAAACATTACCCAAATGAAAAACTGAATGTCTCCTTGAATTAAGATTTGTAGAAATCAGCATAAGGTGTGGAGATACAGAAGATGCTCTATACAGAAGATGCTCTATACATGGGGCTCCCCATGAGGAGCATCCGGAGGCTTCAACTGGTCCAGAATGCGGCCGCGCGGGCGGTGTTGGGAGCGACGCGTCGCTCCCATGTAACGCCGCTGCTGCGCGAGCTGCACTGGTTGCCAGTGGCCTTCCGGGTACGCTTTAAGGTGTTAGTTACCACCTTTAAAGCGCTCCATGGCATAGG